AAAAAAAAAAAAAAGAAACAAAACAAAACAAAAAGAGAGAGAGAATTGTAATTATGATAAATTTGCACGATGAAAGATGAGAATTAGGTAGTGGAATTTGGTAGTTGTTGGGCATAATAATAAGGTAGGGTCTATCCCTAAATCTTGTAATTATTTGAATGATTCACAGAATATCACATTTTTTTTTTTGTATTTAATTAAAGCAATTCATGAAATTGCCATTAAAATGAGATTAGAACATTTCAATTTTGTGGAGATGCTGCTGTCAGTGTAATACAGCTAAGCTACAGCTGTAAAGGTGAGTTGTAACCCAATCAAACACTTTTGTCTATTGGCTTTGTGAGCTTGAGTTTGAGCATAATAATAATAATAAATTTTAATATTCTTGGTCTTCTATTTCGGTGGATATAAAATATAATGGTGGCATTTTTATAAGGGCAATTAGGTGGACATAATTTATTTAACGAAAAATATATTTCAATAAAATATCATTTGGTTGTTTTATAATATTTTTTAAAGCACGGTATTTAAATACAAAAAATACATTGCTTTTAAAAAAAAAAAAAAAAATCTGTCTAGCTATGCTGCCCAAAAGTAACATTAATCAGCCCTGCTTCAGTGATAAAACAAACTTACAATAACATAAAAAAAAAAGGGTCGTTTGAATGTAATTTGATAGGAATATAATGAGTTGAAAAATGAATGATCATGAAAAATGAATGAAACAATTTTTTTTATTAATATGTGATGTAGCGCAGCGTTAAACGAAAGGAACAAGAGAAATAAATCTCTACGAATGTTATTTTTATTTCATCAAAAAAACCCCCTCTTGAACGCAAAAGACATAAAATAAATAGAGTCCAACATTCTAAATCCTTATCTTGCTAAACAAGAAAAGAATTATTTTCCTAATTAAATAAAGCAAACAAATAAAATAGCATAAATAATTATGGTAATAAAATTATTAAATATCATAAAGTTGAAGAGGATCGTATTTTGCTAGATACGCAAGCGCGATCTCGTCGCCATCATCCTCTCCCGGTTGGGGAGGATTAACCCTCGAATCCGGAACGATCTCGTCGCCGTCCGAAGTCTCACCTAGATAAGGCACCAAATGCGTGACGTGGAACACGTCAGAAGTCCGAACATGCGACGGTAAACGAAGACGATACATATGAGGATTGATCTTCTCCACAATCGCGACCGGGCCAATCTTACGAATCGATAACTCGGTGTACGCTCTAGCCGAAAAGGTGTTCGCCGATGAGACCGCCCATACAAATCACCAACGTCAAACTCATATGCTGGCATTTGTGCTTCGTCAACCTCCATGTCAGATCCATAATTTCCAAAACCAACAAAATCAACTACAGTACTTCTCCCACTACTAGAATCAGCAAAATAAGAATTATCCTTCATGTTGTCAACGTGTAAATCCCTACGAAATGAACCAGCAGCAAACTCATTTGAATAAGCACACCCACTATGCCCAACAATACATAACCTGTACACCGCAAGCGCAACCCTTAACTGTTTCCCAGCAAAAGCATTGTAGCAATCAAGCCCACACAAATGTGACCGACAACCAATCACATTAGTCGACACACCATCTCGTGGGCCCATAATGTAGGCATCCTCCACATGCATAGGAACCTCGAGATCCTTCAGACAACGAACATGTTGCTCGAGAGCACCCGCGTGGGTCACGTCCTCGGATGCCTCAGCACATGTTAGCAGTACACGAGAAGAGTCCTACAACGAGACCCGAGGGGAGAGAAACGAACGACGAAGAACCAAAGCACGACCGACATCTCCGTATACGTGTTCTTCAACCGGTTCGGGCTCCTTATCGAAAATTAGAGGTTCGTCATATAAAGGAAGGTCGTCATGAGTTCCCGAGTCGTCGGTGAACAAGGCTCGCACCCCGCCGGGCTGGGGAGAAGCAGGCTGTCTATGTCCCTGTTCGCCACAAGAAAAGCAGCGAAATCCGCCCGCTTGTCGCGCACCTTGCGACGCACCAGGCCCGGTGCCCAAACCTGCTGTTGGTGGCTGGTTAGTACCCGCAACAGCAACCCCAGCCGTGTTGCTCAGCCCAACCGGTGAGCGTCCAGTAGCTGCAGCCCCACCCACCTGTACAACCACTTGCATACCCGAGAACACCGAGGAAGACGCCCGCCTTGCGAGCTGCTGCTCAACCAAGATCGCGCGTTGGTGTGCGTCAGAGATAGTATCCGGAATAAAGAGGTTGAGCGTGTCTTGAATCGATAGTCGAAGCCCGCCAATATATCCCAAGACTAATTGGTCTGTTGTCTCCCGAACATCGACCCGTGTGAGAAGTTTGTAAAACTCCTCTGTGTAGTACACCGACCGAGCCCCTTGGCGTAAATTTTGCAATTTTTTATATATAGTACGAACATAGTTGAAGGGCAAGAACTCACGTTCAAGGTGTTTCTGGAACTTGGACCAAGACGTGATTTTCGGCTTGCCCAACCGATGTCGCGAACCCTTAACGTACTGCCACCACGCCGCCGCCCGGCCCCGTAGGCGTGTCGCCACCAGGCCCACTTTTCTCTCCTCCGGCACCTCCTTAAACTCCAAAACGGATTCAACTGAAGCCATCCCGTCGAGGAATTATGCTGCGTCGAGCCCGCCCGTGAACTCGGGGATGTCCACACGGAAGGAGCCCTCCCACCGCCTGTTGCCATCCTCGTCCGCCACCTGGTCCCGGTGCCCGAATGGATTGACATCCTCGTACGTCGCATCTGAATCCTCATCGTCGTTGGAGTGTGGCGGCGATTGAAATTGCCCGTCTCCGCCGAAGCCGCGACCCCCGCGACCTCCACGTTGTCCACCGCGACCGCCGGCCCGCATCCGAGGTCCGTCACGGTTCATCTGCTGGCCCTGTGCAATTGTATGAAGAGCCCGACGAATTTCATCCATCCCCGTCGAAAGATCTGCCATCTCGCGGCTGATAGCCTGGAATTGTCAATCAAATCCCTCGGCTTGTCGAGTCAAGGATTCGATGGCGGCGTCGCGTCTGTCGTCGGCAGTCTCCCTTCGTGGCGCCATCTGGAATCGTCCCGGTCTATACCAACTGATGTAGCACAGCGTTAAACGAAAGGAACAAGAGAAAGGAACAAGAGAGATAAATCTCTACGAACGTTTTTTTTATTTCATAAAAAAAACCCTCTTAAACGCAAAAGACAAAAAATAAATAGAGTCCAACATTCTAAATCCTTATCTTGCTAAACAAGAAAAGAATTATTCTCTTAATTAAATAAAGCAAACAAATAAATAGCATAAACATTTATGGTAATAAAATTATTAAATATCTTAAAGTTGAAGAGGATCATATTTTGCTAGATACGCAAGCGCGGTCTCGTCGCCATCATCCTCTCCCGGTTGGGGAGGATTCTCCCTCGAATCCGGAACGATCTCGTCGCCATCAATATGTTTGATATGGAGAAAGAATAAAAACTGAATAGAATGACATTATCATCCTATATTATCAACTATTACTATTTATAAAAAGTATTATATATATTAATGCTATTTTTATAATTATTGTAATACTAAAATTATTATATTTTTAATATATTATATTTAATAAATATATTTTTGTTTTGTACACTCATCTTTTATAATAAATAGTTGACTTTGAATAATTAGTTGACTTTGTGTGGCACCTTATTTTCTATTTGGGAATTGCCTCAGCATTTGAAAGCCCCTTCTTGATCACTGCCGAAGGCATCTAATTCAAGACACAAGAGGTACCTGATTTATGTATTTACATACATATTAACTAATACAAATAAGTACGTGACGGACATTATTATTTATAATATATTTTAATTTATGAAAAAATATATAACATATATGATTATATAAAAATAAAGTAGTATCTTTCTAAATTATTTATGAATGCATTTTTTGTGAGTTTATTTTTACATAATTATTTAATACATCTAAGTAAAATATACAAATAACAAATAAAAGTATAATTATTTTTGATTGTTTATTTGAATTTATTTTTTAGAATTATTTTACTTAAATATAACTTAATCATCATCTATAGTATATAGTATGCACTTACTTGTTATTTCTTAATTTTATTTTTTACAAAATTGAATTTTAAATATATGGGAATGGAAAAATCATGCATTAATTACGGAATGACTAAATTTATGGAGATGAGTTTTTCAATTCCGATAGTCATTTCTTTAAAAAAAAAAAAAAA